CACGCGGAGCCACTGAAGGATCTGAAGCCGAAAAATGACCCTGTCAAACTTGTGCTTTAGAAAAAGTTGTTCTGGCAGCTATGTGGAGGCGACTAAAGGAGACCAGTGAGGAGGCTGAAGCCAGGTGCGGGTGAGAGGCGGGCAGGGCCGGGGGAGGCAGAGGAAGGGAGACACACGTGGGTGGTGGTGCCAACCAGACAGGGCCCCCATATGGAAGAAAGAGGAGCTGAGGTGGACTTAGGCCCCAGAAGCTGGCTCAGTGGGTGTGTGAGCTTGGGCAACTTACTTAACTTCTCTGGATCTCAGTTTCCTTATCTATAAAGAGAGATCATAACAGGATCATCCCCTTATAAGGTCGCAGTCAGAATTAAATGAGAAAAAACATATAAAGTGCTTAGAAGGGTGCCTGGCACACAGTAGGAGCTCAATAAATATTAGCTGTTGTTTTCCTTCTGGCAGATCTTGAAGAAAAAAAAGAAAAAGAAAAAAAGAAGATAAAAGACAATAAAAATTTAAAAAAAGAAAAAAGGAATATTAGCTGTTGTTATCTCTACTACTATTCATCACTCTTATGCTTATCATTATTAGTTATTTTTTTTTAAAGCCACTCAAATTTAGCAATGGGAGGTTTAATAACTATTAGTTATTTATTCAACAAATATTTGTTGAGCACCTATTATGTGTCCCACGATACTCTCAGGATACTGTAGTGAACAAGATCGATAAGGACCTAACATTCAGGAAAGTGATATGAGATGGGAGTGGGGAGAAAGACAATAAACTGGTCACAAATTAAGTTTACGTGGAAATCTCAGCTGGTGACATGTTATCTATGGGTCCTAAGAAGCCAGAGGAATGAAGCAGACAGCAGTGACAGGTCGAGTTTGCAGAGTCAGGGAAGGGCCCCAGGAGGCAGCACCGGAGGGGAGCAGGCATGGGGCAAGCTGGTGGGTTCAACTTTGGACAGGACAGGACTCAGAGGAGAGGACTCCTGGGAGGCATCTGGTCCTACCTCTCTCTTGGCCCAGCCGTGGGGGCTGGGCTTCCTCAGCGACCCCTTCTGGGGGTCCCGCAGGTGACACAGGGCGGCTGGGCTGGGGGGTGCCCCCAGGGCTGGGTTCAGTGCCCTTTTGCAGGGAGCCTTCCGAATGGAAACTCTGGTTGCTGTTCTCATCTGTAGGAGCAAAAGCAGAGGTTTGGCCTGAGGTCCCCAGTACCTTCCTTCAATTCCCACAGCCCCCCAAATTCCAGGATCCCTACATACCATTGAGATCTAGCAGGATGAGAGGGCCACTCCCTCGGGGACTGGCACCCCTGCCCCGTCTCTCCCGGCCACGGGATCTTTCCGCCCCACCACCTGCCCGACGTCGCTCCTAAGGGTTAGAGGGATAACAGTCAGAGCCAGCTTTCTATTTCGCTCTTGCAAAGCCCCCACTGTACAAATAAGGAAACTGAGGCACAGAGAAGCAAAAAGCCCTGCCTGAGGTGACAGGTTGTGCACACTGGCTTAGGTCTTGAACTCAGGGGTCTGGAAGAGGAAAAAGGGAAAAGGGGGAGGAGTTGCTACTAATCGTTAACATCTGTCCCCGCTGCTGCAGCATTTGAGTTTTCAGAGTGGGGGCTGGAGGTAGAGCCCAGGGTGGGGAGGGGCTTGCCTGAGGTTGCACAGATGCAGGGCTTTGGTTGGGGGGAGCTTGCTCACCTCCTCCTGGGGGTCCACCACTGGCACCCACTTGAAGATACGAAGGGAAGTGTCGCCCACAGTCACCCATCGCTTCTCCCTGTGGGAGGGTGGGGGGCTGGGTCAGAGAGGCCTGAGGGGAGAGTCCCTCAGGAGCTGGGCACATCTGGGGGTACCTGCAAAGGTATGGGGTACACGAGGGTAGGGCAAGTTTCGCTAATAGGGCATAGTTAGATGGAGAAAGAGAGCCCTGCAGACCCCAGGGCATAGATGGGTGCTTCTAGAGAGAGGGCATGACTTGGGGCCGTGGCTCTGCAGACCCCCGGGGCATACATAAGGGGCACCGCCATGGACCTGGCTGCGGATCATAGGGATCACAGCAATGAAGAGCTGGGGCTACTTGCAGGAGTGTCAAAGCTTTAGGGGGCGGGGCATAAATGGAGCCTCCGGCTCTGGGAGGGCACAGCTGGGGACCACGCTTTGTAGACCCCAGGGAGTAGCCAGGGGAAGAAAGATAGAGCCCTGTTGACCCAGGGCACAGCTGGCGGGCCAGGGTACACCTAACACCTGGGGCCACAGCTGGCGAGGAGAGGGCAGACGCATTTGGTGGTGGTGGTCCCGCCATGTCCCGTCCCTGGCCCCCGGGCAGCGCTCACCATCTGCGGACCTTCTCGATGGTCGCCATCACCTTCTTGATGTCATCCTTGGCCCGGCTCCGGGTCTCGGCCCGTACGGTCCGGCCGGCCATGCTGGCGGGGCTGGGGCCGGGGCCGAGCCCGCGGCGGGGCCGCCTCCCGTCCGGCGGGCTCAGGCTCGGCGCCAGGCCGGGGCGCCGCTCTCTCGGCTGCCGTCCCTCCGGGAGTTGGCCGCGCCCTCCCTCGCTCCCCAACGCCTCCGCGAGTCCCCGCCCCGTTTCCTGCCGCCGCGCCCCGCCCGGGCCAGTCCCCCGAGCGGCCTGGCGGCGCCGGCGGCCAAAGCCCAGGCCTGGAAGCCCGGCCGGCCCCGCCCCGCCCCGGGCCCACCCCCTCGGGGCGCCGGGACGCGCAGCGCCCCCTGCCCGCCGCCAAGAGGAGAGTTGGGGGCAGCGAGGCGACTGGACGCGCGCGGCGTGCGTTCAGACCACGTGTGCGCTGGGTGCGCGAGGGGGTCTGAGTCCTGGTATGTGTCCGCTGCGGGTGGGCGTCCCTGGAACGCGGTGTGTGGAGCGTGCGCGTGTGTCTGCCCTCGCCAGGCTGTCTGATTCTACGCTGTCCAATCTATTCGTTCATCCATTCATTCAACAATCTGTTGACTGCATGCCAGAGAGAGTATGTGTGGATCTCCACCCACCAGAATGGCTAAAGTGAAAAAGACAGACCATCCCAAGTGTAGGCGAGGAAGTAGAGCGACTGGACCTCTCCTATATTTCTGGCAGAGTGTAAATTGGTAGAGACATTTTGGAAAACTGGCAGTTTTCTAGTGAAGCCAAACATACGCCAACCCTATGATCCTGCAATTCCACTCGTAGGTTGTCAACACCCAACAGAAATGCGTAGGTGTGAGCACCAAGAGACATGTACTGGAATGTTCATAGCACTATTCATAATAGCCCCAAGCTGGAAATAACCCATCAACAGAATGGAAAACAAATTATAGTGTATTCATTACCATGGACATAGACACAGCAAGGAGAATGACTGATGTCCTGCTATATCCAACAACACTGACAAGTATGAATAAATCTTGAGTGAAAGAAGCCAGATAAAACAGTATACACTATATGATTCCATTTATATGAAGTTCAAAATCAGACAAAACTCCTTTACAGTGTGAGAAGTAAGGATAGTGGCCACCCTTAGGACTGGGACAGAGGAGGCTTCTGGGAGCTGGCCATCCTGTTTTGTCATCTGCTGCTGGCTCCCTGGGCATATTTATTCTGTGAAAATTCATCAGGCAGTACACTTATGATGTATGCACTTTTCTGTATGTGTATTACACTCAATTATAAGTTTCCTTAAAGAAAACGAATGTGTCTTGGTTGATTTTATTTGAGGCTGGTTTGTCAGCAGATATGACCATGTCTAAATTTGTGCTGCTGTATATGTCTTTCAAGGTGTGTCTGTTGTGTCTGTGAGTTTTGTTGTGACTGTGTCCAGAGGTTGAGGGGATAAGGGGTTAGGAGCGTGGTTATGACAGTATTTCTGGAGCCAAACTGCTGAGGTACTATCCCAGCTCTGCCACACCCAGCTGTGTGGCCTTGGACAAGTCACTTATCTCTACTTCCTCACCTATAACCTGGGAGCATGTGCAAAGCTGTTAGAACAATGCCCAGCACATAGTAAAATATTGTCTGTTAATAACTGTGTGTTGTGGCCACTACTAACAGTCTGGCTCAATTGCACTTGCTGTGCCCTCTGCCAGTTAATCTCTTTCTTCCTTTAGTCTACCAGTTGCCTGCTCATGGCAACATCCTCACAGACACATGGGCCCCCTTCCCAGTCCTTCACTCCCAAACCCCCCATTACCTGCTGTTATCTACGGCTCCCCCTCAGACTGTGAGCTCCTCAGGGGTCAGAAACCAAGTATGGATCATCTTTGACCCAGCGTCCAGGACAGAGTAGGTGCTTGGGAACCACTTTGTGGGCATAAGTGCGTACAGTCCTTTCAGAGTCTACACCAGGCTGATGGGGTTGATGTATGGGTATGACCTCCTGTACAGGTCTCTGAAGTTTGCTTCCGTGTCAGAATGATTGTAAACATTAACTCTTCAGTGGATGTGTGTGAGCATGCATGTGTGCGTGTGTGTATCAATGGAGTTCTCTCACTGAGCCTGGTGAGGTGAGGTGAAGTGGTTTGTCTGACTCCCTCTCGGAAGGTGTAACAGTGAGAGTGGCAGACAAGTGTGCCCCACGCCTGAGAGCCCCCACCGCAGCCTCTCTTGCACCCTGCCCCCTAGTCAAGCGGGAGGGAGGGCCTGTGCATTCCTGTCCCGCCACTCTTGCAGTTTCCCTTTCCTGTCTCCCCAGCTTTCCCCTCAAAGCAGTCCCAGCCGCCGTCCCTGCCTCAGGTCGGAGCCTGAGCCTCCTCCTGAGGCAGGACACTGGGCTGCCTCTCAGGGCCCGACACCCCCAGCCCCGAGGTCCTGTCTACTGTGCGAACAACCTGACTCCCCCTCGGGCCCCTTCCCCTCCTAGGCCCCACAGGCGGGACCTGAGCTCAGGGCCAAGGAATCTTGCCTGGAAGGGGGGTGTGTGAAATGTTTGGGGTCTGGGCTCTGATTGGCTGCGCCCGGGCCCCGCCCCTACCCTTTCCCTCCTCTCCCCCCTTCGAAAGGGGGGCGTGGAGGGAACCGGGATCAGCCAGGGGCCAGCATGAGCCGGAGGGAGGGAAGTCTGGGTAAGGGGCTGGAGCACCGTACGCTGCTGGGTCCCTGAGGGGAGCAGGAATCAGAAGGGTTGGAAGCTGGGGTCTGGGTTCCGTCACCCCCGGGTCCGGGAGGGGAGCGGCCTGGGCGGGGAAGAGCAGGGCTCCGGTGTCAGGTAACTAGAGAGTTGTGAGAAGCGGCAGGCTCAAAGGTTTAGAGGAGGCCTGGGGCTGAGGCTTCAGGGACTTGGGCTCAGGGGTTAGAAACCTGTTCGAGTACACCCTGAGGGAGGACTGGGGTCGGGGCTGGGGCAGGACGCCAGGGTTCACTCTGAATATTGGGAAAGAATCAGAGCTGGGGGGCCAGGAGGAGACGTAGAGTTAGAAGAAAGTCTTTGATGCACAGGAGCTAGCGAATGACAACAGGAGACGAAAGTCAGGGCTGCTGGAGATCCGGACTGGCGGTGGGAAACTCAGGCGAGGGGCGGGGCGGGAATTGCCGGGCCAGGACTACATTCCCCATCATGCACTGGGTGTGCGCTGTGCGTGTCGGGAAGTGTAGTCCTTCCTGGCGTGCCACACTCTGGTTTGTGCCAGGGGAGGCCGGATGTTATTTCGTTGATGCCGCCCAGCCCAGCGCCTTGCATAGAAGGGGCATCAGGGAGGGAATGGCACTTCAGTCTCCCTATTTGTAAAATGGGCCTTAAAGGCACATTCTGATTTGAAGTTCTGTGCTTCAGCGATGTTGAGTTCCACCAACAGTCACTGAGGTACAGAGATAGGTGAGCCCTATCCTCAAAGGGCTCCCAGGCTAAGGCGGATACACATGGAAAAGAGCCATTGAAAGAGCTACCTTGGAGGTATGAACAACTGGCCTCAAATCGAAGTTCATTTAGGGAGGGGTGATTCTAGAGGCTGCACTGAGAAGGCAGTATAGTCATGCGTTGCATAACAACATTTCAGCCAACCAACAGCCTGCATACACAACGGTGGTCCCATAGATCATCATTATCATTATTATTAGAGGCAGGGTTTTGCTATTCTGCCCAGGCTAGTCTTGAACTCCTGGCCTCAAGCAACCCTTCCACTTCAGCCTCCCAAGTAGCTGGGATTACAGGTCTGAGCCACCATGCCCAGCATATAAGATAAAATATGTATTTATACTGTACCTTTTTATGTTTAGATATGTTTAGACACACAATACTCACCATTGTGTTCCAATTGCCTACAGCATTCAGTATAGTAGCATGCTTTACAGGTTTTTAGCCTAGGAGCAATAGGCTACACCATATAGCCTGGCCACGTAGACGGCTATACCATCTAGGTTTGTGTAAGTACACTCTATGATGTTTGCACAACGATGAAATTGCCTAATGATGCATTCCTCAGAACATATCCCAGTTGTTAGGCAATGCATGACTGTATTTGAATTTGGTTTTAATAGGATTTCAATGGTGGTTTGTGGACAGGGAACACATTTCAGGTAAAGCAACTGCTTGACAAAGGTCTGGTGCCTCATTTTCACTCAGTTGGAATGGGACAGACCCTGCCTGGCTGGAAAGTTGGAGAATTCAGAGCAGAGCTTCTGGGTTTAGGAAGGAAGAGGCAGCCTAGGGGAGGTGGTCAAGGAGCAGGGGTGGGGGCTGCTCTCATTCCTCCCCACTCTCCCACCAGAAGACCCCCAGGCTGACTCCTCAGTCTCTCTCCTTCCCCACTTGGAGGCCAAGATCCGTCAGACACACAGCCTTGCCCACCTCCTCACCAAATACGCTGAGCAGCTGCTCCAGGAATATGTGAGTGGGAGTGGAGGTGGGGGCGCCGGGGCCTGGGATGGGGAAGCACAGATCTCACAAAGGTCCTCAGCTACCCATTTTCTCAACCTCATTTCCCAGCTGTGAAACCAGGGCTCCTGATGATGAGAGGGACAGTAACTTGCCGCTGGCCACACAGCAAATTGGATGAGGACCCTATTTGTGATCCAAATGCCACTCTGTCCTCTTCAGCTCGGAGGCACCCTCCTTGGTGCTTTAAGTCAGAGGCAGCCTGGAGGAGGGAAGAGAACTGATCTGGGAGTCAGGAAACCTAGTTTCTAGGCTCTGTGTGATCTTGTCATTCCACCTCCTTGGGCCTTGGTCTCCCCAGCTGTAAAAGGAGGTTGCTGAACAAGATGAACTATGAACTCTTCTACCTGGAATATTCAGAGAGGCCAAGAAGAGGTTTCAATCTGGGGCAAAAATTCTATCCCAAGAGGTGACTTTTACAGAAGAGGAAGGTCTGCTGACATCTTTGGTTGGGCAGAAGGCCCTGCCCAAGGAAAGAAGATATTTTCCCAAATTACCCTGGTGTAGTAGAGGGAGGGGATAGCTTTATAGCTTTGAATCAGACAGATTGTAGGCCTGCCAACTTGTGAACTGTGACCTTGGGCAGTGATGATAACATTAGAAATAACAATATAACAATTATAAAGCAGATAGTGGGATAATAGAACTAGCTTTGTAGTCCTACCAACTTTAATTCAAATTCCAGCTCTCCCACTTCCTACATGGGTGACCTAGGGCAAGTCACTGTATCTCTTCAGCCCTACTCTTCTTATTTACAAAGCCATCATCAGTGTTATCATTATACCCATTATGGGAAAGATTATAGTGTGTTCAAAGCAGCAAACAATGCCTATATCAGAGGCAAGATGTTAGCAAAGGATAAATGTTATTGTTATAGCATTTTACAAATTACAAATCGCCTTTATCTTTCATTTGTTCATTCATACTACAGTGATTCACTGATGAGTCCCTGCTCAATGCAGGGTACAGAGGTTGGGGAGGAGAGAGTGAAATCAACTAGGTCCCTGCACTATCTTTTTTTTTTTTTTTTTTTTTTTGAGACAGAGTCTCACTCCGTTGCCTGGACTAGAATGCTGTAGCGTCAGCCTAGCTCACAGCAACCTCAAACTCCTGGGCTCAAGCTATCCTCCTGCCTCAGCCTCCTGAGAAACTGGGACTACAGGCCTGCGCCACCACACCTGGCTAATTTTTTCTGTTTTTAGTTGCCCAGCTAATTTCTTTCATTATTTAGTAGAGACTGGGTCTCACTCTTGCTGAAGCTGGTCTCGAACTCCTGACCTCAAGCAATCCTCCTGCCTCAGCCTCCCAGAGTGCTAGGGTTACAGGCGTGAGCTGCTGCGCCCAGCCCTTGCACTATCTTATATGATTCTCAGGAGACCTCTGATAGGAAGACAGGACAGGAAGCTGCCTCCCCCCACTTTACAGATGAGAAGACTGAGGCTCAGAGAGGGAAAATGGTTTTGCCCAAAACTGCACAGCTAGTAAGACATGGAGCAGGATTTGAACCCGGGTATGTAAAATAACATTAATAAAAGAGCTAACATTTATGGAGGCCTTCCTAGGGGCCAGGCCTACCTTGAGCACTTGAGATGCTCATAACTGCTTTCTGAAGTTGATCCTGTTATTAGCTCCAATTTAGAGAGGAGGAAATAAAGGCACTGGTATGAAGCCCACGTTATTTTGTTTTATCTCAGAACAGCGCTGTCCAGAGGAATTATCATTTGCAAAATGAGAAAACTGAGGCCCCTGGAGAGGGGTGGAGGGCTCGGTTAAGAGTGGAAGGTCGCCCGTCCCCGCCATAGTACCACCCCCCACCCCGAACGCGCCCCCTCCTCGGGGAACCCCACTGACCGCCGGCCGTGTCTCCGCAGGTGCAGCACCAGGGAGACCCCTTCGGGCTGCCCGGCTTCTCGCCACCACGGCTGCCGGTGGCCGGCCTGAGCGCCCCGGCACCGAGCCAAGCAGGGCTGCCGCTGCCCGAGCGACTGCGGCTGGACGCGGCCGCGCTAGCCGCGCTGCCCCCGATGCTCGACGCCGTGCGCCGCCGCCAGGCGGAGCTGAACCCCCACGCGCCGCGCCTGCTTCGGCACCTGGAGGACGCGGCGCGCCAGGCCCGGGCCCTGGGCGCCGCCGTGGAGACCGTGCTGGCCGCGCTGGGCGCCGCCGCCCGTGGGCCCCGGCCTGAGCCCCCAGCCGCCGCCACCGCCGCGGGAGTCTTCCCGGCCAAGGTGCTGGGGCTCCGCGTGTGCGGCCTCTACCGCGACTGGGTGAGCCGCACCGAGGGCGACCTGAGCCAGCTGGTGCCCGGGGGCCCGGCCTGAGCAAGGGACGCGGGGCGCAGCTCGCGCTGTCGCCGCCTCTCCGCCCGTCTGTCTGCACTCCTCTCTCATCTCCGTCGGTGTTGGCTGCTCTCGGGCTGTCGCTGTTGCTCTGTCCCCCACCTCTTTGCTTTGCGTGCCCTCTTTCGTCCTCTCTCGACCTCCTCGTCTCCGTAGGTAATTTCCAAGCATCTACCATCCTCTTACTTTCCCTCTCTTTACCTCCATCCTTGGGCCTGCCTCGGTCTGTTTTGGTCTCCCCCTTTCCCCAGCTCCAGGAGGCCTCTCTGTCTCTCTCCTTCCGCATCTCTTGTCTCCCGTCGGCCCCACATGAGCGTGTGTACATCTCAGCCTCATCTCAAGGTGATACCTTGTCTCCCTGTCTCCCTCTGTCTCTCTCCGTCCTTTCCCGGCCAGGGACGTGCTTTCCTGTCCTGTGGTGGGAAGGCCTCCAAATTTCAGCCACCTCCCCCAAGGTCATTCCATCTGGTGTCCTCACTCTCCCCAACACGTCCCTTTGGGCCCTGCCCCCTCTAGCCTTGATGTCCTTCCTTCACCCCTTCTCCGCGGTCCCTGCACACCTCCACCCCATCCAAACCAGGTCTGTGGAGAGAGAAAAAAAACAACACCTTAAAAGAGTTTTATTTCTGAAAATAAATTAATTTTTAGTAAATAAAATGTTGAAAAATAAAAAGAAAACTAGAGTTACCTGTATATATATACAGTTGTTGAAAATGGGGAGACAGCTTTGAGGAGAATAGGATCCTTGGGGTGAAGCCTGGTTCCCCAGAAATACCCAAAAGGCACATTATAAATAGGAGATTCATGAGAGCCCCGGGCCAGGGACGCCATCTACCAGCCTGCCAGAACAAGACATGGATGTGTACGAGCAGAAAACAGATGTGACCAAGTCCTTAGTTCTTCAAGAATTGGACATCACTGATCAGGAAGTGAAGCCCCTTCAGACAGGAAGTAGAACAGTAGCCACAGGCAGAGAAGTAGACTAGGTGAGGAAATAAATTTCATCAAGATGGGAGGCCTGTCTGCTCAGAAAGGCCATATCTTCATACAGAAGTGAGGTAGATGGAGACAGAAAGGTGACCCTGGACCTCACCAAAATCACAGGAAGGGGAAGGTCTCAGGGAGCACTCAGCAAAGAGGCCAACTGTCTTATAGTGGGAAGCAGGACCATTGGATCGGTAATCCATGAAGTAGTATCCGTGGAGACCCACCCAAATCTGGAAGGGAGGCCATGGGACCTGGGCAGGAAGGCCCAGGCAATAAGGAATTGAGGCTTGGCTTCCAGGAAATATTTCCCAAGACATGGCACATAAACCCTGTCTGCTAGATGAGATGTATCTCCTTCTCTAGCCCAGAAGTAAGGCAGAAAAGAATCCATTGTGAAAGAGGAAGTGGTGTAGCCTCTGACAGGAAGTCCTAACCTTCTATGCTGGATATTTGGCCTTGAGCAGAGCCAAGTCCCTCACAGCTCGGTCTGTCCAGTGGCCATATTCCCGGGTGACTACGTAGCCTCGACATTTCCTCTCGAAGGCTGATGCCCCAAAAGGGACAAGCCCAAGAGTGTCCTCTTCTGGGGGGATAGGCAGTCCCAGGGCGGTCATGATGGCAGCCATGTTGCCTAGCAGGCCTTGGGCCCTGAGTCTTGCAGCTCCGAGCTGGGCCAGCAGGATGGGACTGCCAGGATTCAGGTCACTCTGGTCGTCCCCCACGAGCTGGAGGTGCTGGGTCAAGGCCAGGAAGGCTCCCTGGGCATGGCTCAGCCGCTCCCCATCATCCAGGGCGTGCCAGATCTTGAAGGAAACGGCGGCAGGAGGTAGGCTGCTCAGCTGGAGCTCGGGGGCCGAGAAGCCAGGGTCGCTAAAGGGGCTGCCCTGGTACTGGAGCTGCAGGAGGAACAGAGACGGACAGGAGTAAGGGTACCAAAGGGGTGCCTGGGGCTCTGACTGCACATCTGCCCTCTGAGACTGGCATCTTCGCAGGAGGAATTGCCACTCGCCACCACTTGGGGAGTTGGTGGGCTGTCCTAACACAGAGCAAGGGCCTGTTAGGCTCCAGTTTGTCATCCTCCGTGTACCAGCTGTGCAACATTGAATCACGAGCTTCAGCAATTCCCATGTGGCAGTATTATTGTGAAGATTATAAGAAATCATACATATGAAGCACTTAGCACAGCATCTGACATGCAATAAGAGTGTGATAAGCCATCATTAATTAATAATATATTAATATCAATGAACACTGTGATTATATTAGTTATTGACAATGTAGTTGTAGCCTGATATCTTTTTTATTTACAGCAGTTAGTTGTTTATGTTTGTTAATTTTATTATAGTCATTAATAAATAATTGTTAATATTATTACATTTAATTGAGAGCCTTCCCCATCAAAGTTCTTACCTCCACTAACCAAGACCCACAGAGTCTTATATGCACACTGATAGATCTCCTAATTGTTTGATTGCCTACTCCTACTTCCCCATTTTACAGGTGGAGAAACTGAGACTCAGGGTGCCCAAGGCCATCCAGGGAATAGTGGCAGCTATGGGACTAGAAATCGGATTGAGTAACTTCACATGGGCCTGGAATATAGTGCAGTGGAAGAGTTGAACACTCTAAGACCTCCAGAGCCAGGCAGATCATGTAACTTGGGAAGAGGGCAGGAATAAAGGTGGGGGTGGGAGGTGACTTTTGGCCAACAGGATCCCTGTGCCTGTTATAGACAGGCATTCATATTCACAATTTGAACAAGCACTATATGGACCAAACAAAAACCATCTGTGGGTCAGACCCAGCCAGCAGGCTATCAGTTTTAACTTCTAGACAGTGGGGCAGGGGTGGGGTTGGTGGCACGGAGTTCCACAGATCTGGTTTCAGGTACTGGCACTGCCAGTTATTAGCTCTGTGACCTCTGGCAAATTATTCATTCCCTCTAAGACTCAGTTTCCTCATCTGTAAAATGGATTATAATTCCACCTCTCAGAACTGTTTGAACTTATATTAATGGAAATAGAGTGCCTAGCTTGGCATAGTGCCCAAGTAACCACACAGCATGAGGTGGGTGTGAAAATAACGCTGATTATGGAAAGCCCTTCCCTCTAGGTGCTTCCTTTGAACTCTGTAACAGTCCTGAGAAGTCAGAAAAGGTAGGATCACCATCTCATTTTGCAGATGAGGAAGCTGAGACTAAAGGAAGAGGGATGACTTGCCCAAGGTTACCCAGCTAGCAGTGACAGCATTTTCTTGTTTTGTTTTTTTGTTGTTGTTGTTGTTGAGACAGAGTCTCACTCGGTGTCCCTGGGTAGAGTGCAGTGGCTTCATTGTAGTTCACTGCAAGCTCCAACTCCCAGGCTGTAAGTGATCCTTCTGCCTCAGCCTACCGGCTGGCTGGGACTACAGGTGTGCACCACAACGCCCGGCTGGGTTTTGTTGTTTCATGTACCTTTTTTGTCTGTTTCTTTTTTTCTCTCTCTTTTGTAGAGATGGGGTCTCACTGTTGCTCAGACTGGTGTCAAACCCCTGAGCTCCAGGTATCCTCCCACCTTGGCCTCCCAGAGAGCTAGGATTACAGGCGTGAGCCACCGTGCCCAGCCAGTGACAGCATTTGAGTGAGTATGTCTCTAGTGAACAGAGCCCCTGTACCCTCGGGCCTACGGAGGTGTCTTCTGGGCTGCTCTATTTCCCCTACCCAGGGCTGGGCCAGGAGGGCAGTGCCCCCACCTTGTCCCCTGCTTATGGCCAGTGTCACTCACATAAGTCTGCAGCAGCGTTGATGTGTTCTTCTGCATGTAGACGGCCAGGCTATAGGCTTGACTGATGGGCCCAGCTGGGGAGATGGGGGCTGCCGGACTGAGGAGTGGCAACAGCAGCATCAGCAGGCAGAGGGGGCCTGGCAGAGGAAATGAAGTCAAGTCCCTGACCCTACCTGCCCATTCATTCATTCATCTTAACAACTCCTGAGAAGCATACAGCCCTTTCAGCCTACAGCTACCTTGTATATATGCAAGTCAGGGCACAGTCATCCTGTAAGTGGATTGCTTCCAGCCCAGAACACTCCCCTAAACTCCAGACCCACTTATTCAACTTCCTACTTGACATTTTCACTTGGATATTAGCAAGCATCTCAAACTCAAAATATCAATGCACAACTCTGGTTGCCCCCGCCCCCCGTCTTCAGGTGAGAGCACTTCCACTCTTCCAGTTGCTTAGGCCAAGCCATGGGGTCCTCTCGGATGCCTCACCATGTCCCCCAGAACATTGTTGGCTCTATCCTTCAAAGGCAGCCAGTGCACGTGTTTCTCGATTTGAGTGTTTCCTGATTAATCCGAGCGCTCCTTACAAGTATATGTTGACTTTGTGAAAATCCATTGAGCTGTATACACTTAGGACTTGTGTGCTTTTCTGTACGTTTATTACTTTTAATAAAAAGTTTTAAAAGATGAAAAGATGAACCCGGGATCTAACCACTTCTCCCTCTCCTTCCACTGCTACCCTCTCACCCCAAGCCGCCATCTCCTCGCCTGGATAGCAGCCCTTCCCTGGTCTCTCTGCTTCCACCTCCGCCAAGGCCCCCCAGTCCAGCCACATCCCTCCTCTGCTCGAGCACTCACATGGCTCCCTTCTCACTCAGGAAAATCCAAAGTCCTCAGTGTGGCCTGCAAAGGCCTGGTCCCTGGGCACTGCTGAGATTTTTGCTATCTGAGGGTCCCTCATGTATTTATTTGTTCACTTGCTTGTTGCTGTCTCTCCCACCAGGGTGTCGGCTGCAGGAAAGAGGAAACCTCACCTGGCTCCTTCACTGCTGGTTCTCCATAATAACTTCTTGTTGAATGAATGAGTGAATGAATGCTGCCATGAACATCCTTGTCCCAGCCTCTTTGGGCACTTTTTAAAGTGGGAGTATCTGGACTGGAGGGCATGCTTATTTTAAGTTTGGACAGATGCTGCCAACTTGTCCTCTCAACGGCCTGGCCCTGTTTATGTTCCCACCAACAGCGTGAGGCTCAGAGAAGAGGGGGAGCTACCTAAGGTCTCCAGCTAGGAAGCGATGAATGTGAAAGGCAAACCCAGGAGTTCCCAAAAGTTCACAACCAACTGAGAGAAGGCTGAAAGGGAAGGCCCTTCCGTTCATTCATTCGACAAACTTGGATCACTACACCACTCTATCACGCTAGATTTACAGTTTACTTATTTGGTACGTGTATTGTACGTCTGCAGGATGAAACCCCCATGAGGCCATAGATTTTGTCTGTTTGTTCGCTGCCATATCCCCAAATGCTTCGAATGGTACCTAGCACGTAATAGGCACTCAATAAATATTTATCAGATGAATAATGAATGAAGCCTTCTATGTGGAAGGATTTGGAGGTTTCCAGCAGATGCAAAGACAGCTGGGCACCTGAGTCAGAGGGGCCAGAGAGGCCGGGCAGTGCCCCCTCCCATCCTGGTCTCTGGCCTCTGCCCCTCACTCACCCAGTGGACAGCTCATGCTCTCTCCTTGGCTCCTTCCTCTCTGCCGTCTCTGGGTCTTTCCAGGGCACCTGTCCTCCGCTCTCTCAGGTGGCTTTATACCTGGGGCTGAGCCCTGGGGCCACCCAAAAGGGAGGGAGGGAGTAACGCCCTAGGGTGGAGGGGCGGGCAGTGGGCAGGGTCCTGGCAAAGAATGAGAGACAGACCCAGCCACGGGACAGGACAGGGCGAGGTTTGTGTGGGACCCAAAAGAGGGCATATATTCCAGACAGAGAGGCCTGGGACTCAGGGTGCAAAACCCTAGAGGTAGGGAGCAAGTAGGGAAGGGGACTCTGAGGTGACACCCTAGACCCCTACAGCTCCCAAATTCGACCTTAAACCCTGGCGGCTGGGAAGGAGGGGCAAGGGCAGGGAGGGGATTATGGGGGACAAAGGGGCCGCCCTGCTCCCTGCTGCTCTGCACGTCCTGGGATCCAGTTTCCCCTGAGGAGGCGGCCCCCTGCTCCGCCCCACAGGGACCCAGGCATTTGGCCCTGGCTCCTAAGGAGTTTGGAAAAGGGACAGGAGGGGTGGTGTGTGAGCAGCATCATCTATACCCAGGTGCACTCTTAGACACAGGAGCATGCACACGTCTACACACGTGTTGGCACGTGGGCACATGCCAGGCATGAGCACACAGTTTCCTATGTTCATTCATTCAAGTACATATGGACCCTTACTGTGTGCCAGTCCCTGTTCTAGGTTCTAGGGACAGAGCATGGGACAAGACAGACAAAATCCCTGTCCTCATGGAGCTGACACTTTAGCAGACATGCCTACCTATGTGCTGGATCATGCCAGGCCTACACATGCTACATACCCAGAGTCCCAGATGGATGAGCACACATGTACACAGATGCACACAGGTGAACATATACTGCACACCTGGGGGCCCAGCCAGAGGCACCTGTGCAAGCAGACACAGAGGGCACACCACCTCGTGCCCGCACACATGCATGTGCACGCATGCAGCTGGAGTCCTGGGATCTAGCCACATCCCAGGCTCTGACATACAGGGAGAGCTTGTCCCTCTGCCCAGGCACAACACACACGGACACGCACAGACACACACACCTGAGGAATCCCACCCCCACCCCTGGAGGAGATAGCTGCTGGGCTCTGGTCCCTCTCCAGGCCTTCCCAACCTCTCCGTAATGGAGCATGTGTTCAGTTCTCACCCCTGCCCACCCTCCGAGTCAGAGTGGTCATCAGACCCCCACCCTAATTCCATCTAGGGGGGCTGGAATTCTTCCCACCCCATCTGCCCTGGCTAGAAGGTGACATGGAGGCAGATGGGATCACACATCACTCAGTAGGTATTACTAGAGCACCTACTGTGTGCCGGCACCAGGGTGAATAATAAGGCCTCATGGGCACCGAGACCAACAATAAACTTGTGAACCAATAAAAACCCAGATTTCCTAGAGTGACAAGGTGCTGAGAAGAAGCCAAAACAGGTTGATGGGACTCTCAGGATTGGGAGAACTTAGATAAGGTGCCCAAGGCCCAGAAAGGGGCAGCTACTTACCTGGAGTTGCACAGCAGAGCCAGGGCAGATCCTGACCCCAGCTTGGGGCTGGAAGTGGGGTGCCCCAGATCTGAACTGCAAGCTGAAGGAGGGAGGAGGCTGAGGAGAAAGATGGCTTCTGAGGTAGGGGGTCCTCAGCCGGATCTCCAAGGCTGGGGGCTGCCGGGGCTGGCGGGCAGGGCCTGTGCCGGGCAGGCGGTGATGTCAGGGGATTAGAGTAGGCCCATTGAGCAGGTGCACTGAGGCGTGGGCCGCCGTCGTAGCGGGGCAGGGAGAAGAGGAGGGGCAGGAGGGGCCGAGGGGGGCAGATACTCGATCTGGTGCTATTCACAGTGGACGGTGTACACGGGGCCAAACCTCACTTGAGAGGGCAGGCTAACCCCGCCTGACCCCACCACCGCCGGCCTCTCTCGGGGGCTTCTCTTTCTCTCTCTTGACCCCCAAGTGCCCTTCAGAGTTGGAGGAATTAGCCCCCATCCCAGGCCCAGCTCCGTTGGTCCAAGGCTCTTCTCTTGGTGGGAGTCATCAGCTCGGCACCCCCTTCCCAGCCTGCCCACCCTGCAGGCCCACCTGTCTCCATCTCTCTTTTGGGCTCACCTGAAATAGACACCTTGGGAACCCCAGAAATTTAGGAGTCAGCAGGCTGGGGTTCAAGTCCTGCCTTTGTTCATCACGAGCTTGGGCAAGTTCCTTAACCTCTCTGAGCCCAGGGTGTTTCCCCGTCTGGAAACTGGGATAATAATTCCCATCTCACAGACTCTCGCTGGCTCCACCCTCCAAGTGTACCTTGACCCCTGCTAGGAGGCCCCTCCCAGGCCTGGCAAAGGTTGGCCCAGGAATACATACTGCCCCCAACCAATGGCAAAAGGCTCGATGTCCCACGACACTGTGTTTGGAGCCCAGTCACTGTCCCAGCCATATGTGTGCCCCCAAGAGATCAGCTGCCTATCCAGCCCCAGGACACTCAAGCATGACCCAACGTCACCCAGAAAACCACAGGATAAGGCCCATTCAGAACAAAAACAAATGAAACTCCAAGCCAGGTCCTCACCCCCACGCCATCGTTAATCCCAACCCTGACTGTGAATCGTCACCCCTTCCCAAGGTGGGAGCATGCTTGGCAGGTTTCAGAAACAAGTAAGGCTGGGAAAGGGAGCAAAGAGATTGGTGTTTGGTGAGATAGACAGGATGGAGAAGAGCAAGGGCGGCTTTGTCCCCTCCCACCACCACCCATCCCTTTCCTTGACTCCCCAGTGCCCTCAGGATAAAGGCCCAACTCCTCTGCCTGGCCGTCAAGGCCTCAACCCCTTCCACCCCCAGCCCCCTGCACAGCCTTGGGCCTCACCTGCTGCTTTTCCACACCTTCTACTCCAGCCACACAATCTACCAACAATTCCTGCTAAATACTAGGCCTTTGCTCACGTAATTCCCCCGCATGGAAAGCTCTCCTGCTCCTCCTTCGCCTGATACAATCCTTCTCATTTGGTTTTACTTCCTCTGGGAAACTTTCCCTGTCTCCTCTGGCCCCAGCTGCATTGGTGGCTCCTCTGGGCTCCCACATCTCCCTGTGGTCCCCCTATCCACTTACGGATCACCCTGCATTGTAATTCTGTCTCCAAGTCACTCCCCGCCCCACCAGACAGGAAGGCAGGGTCTTGTCATTTCCACATGCCCAGCACTGGGCCATGCACACAGGAGAGACCTCAGTGAGTGTTGGTACCAGGAAGACAGGAGCATGACGGTTCCAGCTGGCAACTCTGCACTCATGCCACGGAGTCCAGTCTGCTGGGAAGAGTGCCTGGTCTCAGGAAACGCGCGTGTCAGTGCCGCATCTTGACGGGGTGGCGTGCCCAAGGGGCACCCAGGGCAGGAAGCATGAAGAGATGCCCCAACACAGGGCTGATCAGGGTGAGGAGCACAGCCTACCCATTCATTAATTCCAGGAACCTTTGCAGTGCTGTTCCAGAGACGGGGAGCTGATGGTGACCAAGACCAAGAGGTCCCTGTCCTCTTGGAGCACACAGCTTTGCAGCTCAATCTTCTTCTTCTTCACCGTCATCATCACTAACATTTCTCGCATGCTTACTAGGGGCCTGGAATTGCTTCAAGCTCTTTCTATACACTGGCTCTTGTTCTCTTTACAAAACCTCTTGGAGTAGACAGTACTGTTTGTCCACTTTACAGATGAGGAAATTGAGGCACAGCGAAGTCAAATGATTAGTTCGTGGTCACACAGCTAGTAGGAGCAGTGCTAGGATTTGAACCCAGGCTCCAGAGCTCCAGAGGCTTACGCTTTCTAATCTTTGAACCTTTTCCACAGCTTTTGTCTTCCTGGGTTCCTTTCAGCCTTATCTGGCAAGGAGCTGTCACCCCCAATTCTCAGACGAGATGGAGGGAAAGAAAAAGAATCACAATTTTTGCCTCTGTTATGTTACCAGCCACTTTATACATAGACACGACCTCATTTAATCCTTGTAACAACCCTGGGAAGCAGGTTTTGGGGTTATTATCCCCACTTTTAGAGATGACATTCAGAGAGGTTTGGTGACTTGCCAAGGTCATCTGAAGAAGGAGTCGTAGAGCACTTGGACTCAGGACCGGCTCCAGTGTCCAGGCTGTTCCCTGCCCGACCAAGACGCAGGTTCTTTGCTATCCCAATATCTTCACAACCATCTGTCCCCATTTTGGGGACACATGGGTGGACACCATGATAAAGTGGGGGACATCTGGCAGTGGTTGGCACACATCATACTCCAGGCCCACCCGGCCCTTGGTAACCTTTGAGATCCAGCCATGCTTTGCCTCTGCTCTGTGAGCAGCCTGGGCTTGATGAGGAAGAGGAGTAGCGAGCCCTACACCAGGAGCACAGAGCCTGATGGAAGATTGGTTTTAAAATTTGGAGACAGTAGAGTTAGACCCAGCAATTACACACTGAACAGCCACTGTGTCACCTGAATTTCCCAAAGAAGTGCCACATAAACGGCCGAATCAGATCCCACCAAATAACAAAAGCTACCCTCCACCCACATACTCACCATCAAATTGGTACTAACTGACCAACACTCACGTGCACATATAGGAGTAACATTCATCGGGGGTCGGGCAGGTGGGAGGGGGCGGCAGGGATGGGTATATTCACACCTAATGGGTGCTGTGCGCATCGTCTGGGGGATGGACATGCTTAAAGCTCTGACTCAGGTGGAGCAAAGGCAATATATGTAACCTAAACATTTGTACCCCCATAATATGCTGAGATATAAATAAATAAATAAAAATTTTCAAAAAGCTACTCTCAAACTACCAAACAAAACACTGTGTGATAAATGTGCAGAACCAGACAAGTAGGTCAACGGAACAGAATAGAAAGGCCAGGAAAGACCCATGGATACATAGGAATTTAGGATGTGATAAACGTAACTTTTCAAATGAGGGAGGGTATGAATACACTGTTTTTATAAACAGGTGTTGGGGCTGGGTGCGGTGGCTCACGCCTATAATCCCAACACTTTGAGGGGCCAAGGTGGGAGGATCTCTTGAGGTCAGGGGTTCAAGACCAGCCTGGGCAGCATAACGAGACCTCATCTCTACAAAAAATAATATTGATTAGCTGGACATGGTGGCACATGCCTGTAATCCCAACTACTCAGGAGACTGAGGCAGGAGGGTTGCTTGAGCACAGGAGTTTGAGGCTGCAGTGAGCTATGTTCCTGCCACTGCACTGCAGCCTCGGTGACAGAGCAAGACCCTGTCACCAAAAAAAAAAAAAAAATGCATTGGGACAGTTGGAACATTATATGGAAAAGTTTAGTTAGATCCTATAAATGATCCTATAATGAGTGTAGCTGCGGTCCCACCCAGATTGCTCTACTGGTGGAGCACTACCCTCCAGCTGTTCTCAAGAGACCCACTTTACAGCAAAGCAAGTGCAGTGGTGGACACACTGCCATTTGCTACATCACCCGAAAGCTACTAGCCTCTTAGGGTGATGGAACAGCCTCTGGAAGGCTGTTTTGCAATGCCATCATGGATAGGATGCAGCACCCTCCTTCAGGATGAGGTGTACACCCTACACTCAGGGCTATTTTTTTCTCTTTTTTTTTGAGACAGAGTCTCACTCTGTTGCCCGGGCTAGAGTGTTGTGGAGTCAACCTAGCTCACAGCAACCTCAAACTCCTGGGCTCAAGCGATCCTTCTGCCTCAGCCTCCCGAGTAGCTGGGACTACAGGCATGCACCACCATGCCCAGCTAATTTTTTCTATACATTTTTAGTTGTCCAACTAATTTCTTTCTATTTTTAGTAGAGACGGGGTCTTGCTCTTGCTCAGGCTGGTCTCGAACTCCTAAGCTCAAAAAATCCGCCAGCCTCAGCCTCCCAGAGTGCTAGGATTACAGGCGTGAGCCACCAGGCCCGGCCACTCAGAGCTATTTTACAGTGCGGTGCTCCAGGACATGAGGACAAGGGGCTAGGAACCAAGGAGGGGGAAGTAGGAGTGGCTCTGTTCACTGTCGCCCCTCGGGGAATTTGTGCTTCCAGGCCCTCCAACTTTAGACCCTAGCTCCTGGTTCCCAGAAGGGTGACGGATATTTCCACCAGGGGGCGCAGCAAGAGTGCCATTGAATTTTGAGCTACAGCTGTTGCCTGGTCACTTTGCTCTCCTCATGACCAGCTTGCTATATACTGGCAGGAGTAATAGACCCTGGCCATCGCCAGGTGGTAGAGTGTGTTGAGCACTCAGATGATCCACTGGGACATTCCAGATACCCGTGCTAAGTTTTAGTTGTCAATGGGCAAGTGCTATAGCCATGGTTGATGGGGTGTGGTAAGTAGCGACTCGGGTGCATAGGGACAAAGGTCAGGGTCACCCACCAGGCAAGCTATCCAGGCCAGCAAAAATACCAGCTGAAGCCCAGAGTGGGGCATGGCAGGGGGGCTACAATGAATAAATGGTCAAGGTAGGAGGTGAGGAATACTGATTGAGGCTCTAGAACTAACTCTCCTAAGTTTACCCAGAAACTGGGACCAAGCAGAATCCAGAGAAGCTGTCCCTAGATGGAGTGAACTTAGTGGGAGAAGCAAGTAGTCCCGAGCGATGCAAAGGTGAGCTCTAGTGCACACTTCGGTGCCCCACCCAGACCCCTTTGCCAAAGTTCCCCTGTCCCCGCCCCCATCTCTGGAGAACCACCTTGCAGCCCTCCCCCAGAAGACCTTGGCCAATGACAGACTGGCACAGGGTTGTAAGAGGTAGACCCCCAGCCTCCAGTTGGAACTAACTGGGCAGCACAATTTGGGTTCCAGAGCTTTCTTTAGAATCAGACCAAAGCTAGTCACCGGGACCACATTCTTGCTTGGCCTTCCCAGTCGGCCCTATCCTGATGACCTCATTCTCCTTCTGAGAACACTTCCCCAGACTCTTGGTCGAGAATCCCTGCCTTGGGCTCTGTTTCTCAAGAACCTAGCCTAGGACAGACAGATCCCTTCCTAACCGTTTAAAAATAACTTATAAAGACCAAAATGTGAAAAAGATCTCTAAAATCATTAAGCAAAAATATAGAATACTTTAAAAGCCTGGGCTAAGGGAGAGCCTTCTAAAGCAAGTCACAAAACATAACACCCATAAAGTAAAAGGTTGATATATTTAACTCTCTCTGTCTCTCTGTCTCTCTCTTTCTTTTTACTGTACGTGCACTCAAGTGTTGCCAGTGCTTACTGGGCTGTACTCTCATAGTGCAGAACACTAATGGGTTATGCCCCCACCGACATTTTCATTAGTATCATGGTGATTTTAACTATGTCCACAAATTATTTGACAATTAATTCCCCTCCCTTGAATGTGGGCTGGTTGTACTGACTCGCTTGTAACCAAATGTGGCAGAAGCGATGCTATGTGGCTTCTGAGGTAAGAAGTGTTTCCCCGGATGCTTGTCCTTGAAACCCAGGTGTGGGGAAACCCAGGCCACATAAGAGGCCACATGTAGGAGTTCTGGCTGACAGCCCCAGCCTGACCCTCGGCCGACAGCCAACATCATCTGCCACACATGTGAATGAATGAACCTTCAGGTGATTCCAGGCCCCCAGCTTTCCAGGCTTCTAGCTGAGACCCCAGACATGGTGGAGCAGAGACAAGCTGTGTCTGTCGTACCCCGACTGAATTCCTGACCCACAGAAACCATATGAGAGATAATAAATGATTATTGTCGTTTCGAGCCACTAAATTTAGGGAACACTAGATGACTAAAACAGGGGCTGTGTAAAATATATGGCATAAAAATGAAGAGAAATTGAATTACACAGCCTTGGTGGCAGTTTGCAGAAAGAATCCAGACAGCTCCCAATACAATGTGAAACAAAAGGGTGTTTAATACTTCAGATGACCTAGAATATCTTAAATCTTCAACATTTCATTTGTAATTGAGTTGCTTTTCCCATAAATACAGTTTGTTGTTTTAGATGTGTGAAAATTACCATGCAGAAGAAACTTCTGTTTGGTAAACTGAAAAACCAAGTTGGCTCTCCTGTGCAAGGGCTTGAGTGTGCATGTGCTTAACAGAAACATTGAGTGTGTGAGGATATGTGTGAAAATTAGAAATACAGATTCCTGTCCCCACTCAGAGACTCCTTAAGTCTGGCATGGAGGCTACTACCCTCACCCCATCTCCCGGGAGATTCTGGGTGTCACACTTTCAGGGACATTGAACAACACACACAACTCTGTCTTCCATACAGAACCAGGCCTGGCAAGAAAAAAATCAAAAGTTAGGGGAACTGTTGTAGATTAAGGAGATTCAGGAGGCATAACAACAGTATTTGTTATCTGTCACTAAGTAACAAATTATCCCAAAACCTAGTGATTTAAAATAACAACCCTTATTACGTGACAGTTTCTGTGGGTCAGGAATCTGGGCACATCTGGCTGAGGGGCTCTCACAGGCTACAATCACAGTCAGGGCCATAGTTATCTCTAGGGGCAGGAGTGTCTACTTCCAAGTTCACTCATGTGGTATTGGCAGGATCTGGTCCCTCGGGAGTTATCTGAAGGCCTCAGGCCCTCCCAAGCTGTT